TAAGACCAGATTCACCGTTGGAAGTTTATAAAGCTCATATGAATGCATTGCGTGAAGTAGCATCAAAAGCAAATCAAAATGATGTATTGCTTGTATCAGGTGATTTCAATCTGCCCAATCTGATTTGGTATACATGCAACACAAATGATGCCCATGATCCTGATATTAATTTTGAGCCAAATCCAGAAGTGGCTGTTGCTGTAAATGTGGTGAGCGAAAAAGAGAAAATTGTCATTGATACGTGTCACGATCTGGGTTTGTTTCAAATATGTACTCACCGCAATGAAAACAAACGAATGTTGGATTTGCTATGGACGAATGAGCCCAACATGTTCACATGCAATATGAGCAAAAGTAAAATAGTAAAAAATGAAACACATCATCAAGCACTCGAGGTCATCATCCATGATAAAATTGACAGCAAATCAGATGATGTGATTACGTACAAAGACTTCAAAAATTCTGATTACACATCGATCAATGAATTTTTTGATAATGCCAACTGGAACAATGTTTTCAACGGAATGGATTTTGTAGTGTGACAACAGGCCACACTATTGAAGTAGTAGAACAATGACAGTAGGAAGTAAGAACAATGTAACATAGAAGTAAGAAGATGTAATAAAGAGAGGGCAGTCAGTTCTCACACCTCATACACTTCACACGCGTTCTCTCACTTGCTCAACTCATCGATTATTCATTCCATCGACAGTATTCACTGTATTTTACATAATTTACCTAATTTATTTAACCATTTACCTGTACATGGCGAGTCTACGGCATAAGAATCAATTAAATTAATTAAAATCTTCGACTAATATTTTGAAATAATTCCCCCACAATTTTATTTTCACCGAAAACCGCTAACCACATTGTTAGTCACCGCATTGCGAACACTGTCTGTTAGACATAACCAATTAAGTCAAAATCGACAGAAAACCAGTGAAATTCACAAAAAAAAAACGATAGTTAAAGTGAAACAAAGACAAAAATCAAAAGTAAATTCCGAAATAAAATTCGATTCATCAGATAAATTTCAATTATTCAAGTGCAAATCAAAGACAAAACGCAAAACCGCGTGCAGCGAACGGTATCATATAGCATATATACAGTACCGCTATAGTGAAAAAAAGTGTTCATTTTTTTTCTTCCGACACACAGAAATTTCATCGAAACATAAACGGGACATTAGTAGTTGTAACATGGCACAGCTATATAAAAACCAAAAATCATCGAAATAAATAAAATCATCGAAATAAAAATCATCGAAATAAATAAAATAACCTTGAAAAAAAATCAAAACGATAAAAATCCTTATAAGATACATTTTTTGCGCATGAAACTTTGTGCAAATCGAGTAAAACCGCATGAGCATGAGTGATTGTGAAAATGTGCTGAACTGCAAAAACAACAACGAGCGCATTAAGTAAAGAACGCACTTGTATCGTTGAACGCATTCGTGCTGGAGAAATCCACACACCAACGACAGTCATTTTCGTTTTTGAGCGAACAACGAGACACCAACGAAAGAGAATCAACGAGCGACGACGTCACACGAAGAACGGCTACAAAGAGCCAACACGAGCACGAAGGAATGGTTACAAAGAACCAACACACACAAGAAGGAACGGCTACAGAGAGCCACCGCACGTATGAAGGAATGACTACATAGAGTCAAACGAAGAGAGACGCATACAAACCGATTGCGAATGGATGGAGAAACTCCACTGAAACGCCAAGAGCGAACCAACAGCAACAACAAAACGTGTAGCAACATGAAATGAATTTCGTCAGATAAGTCACCGTAGTTTTAAGCATTAGCCGTAAGCATTAGTTTTTAAGCAAAGAAAAAAAAAAGTCTCACGAATGAAAAAAAAACACAGCGCACAGTCTGTATCACAGCGAACATGAACACCGTTTGATTGCATACTCAATTGCAAGAGGGAATCAAGCGAATATTTTTTTTTATTTGTGCATTTACAATGAAATAGTTTTCTCATTTCCTCCTCAATTTTTGCAACAATATGAACAAAAATAAATAGAAAAGAACAGAAAAAAGAACACAATTAAAAGAAAAAAGAAAAAAGTAAACACATGAATTGAATTCGCGTTCACAAACCGAGACGCATCATACGGTTCATTTTTTTTTACATACAGTTCATTTTTTTTACATTCAGTATTTTTGATTACTCAGTATATTTCTTTTGATTTTTGAATGAAAATAAATAGTTTTCACGCAATAAACCGATTGTCATGGTAACATTGGATGAGGAAAAATATTCCACGTTAAAAAAGTCATTTGACAAAGAGTACAATAGAGTAAAAATATATGAAACAAAGAACCGAAAACTCACACCCAATTTGACTCTTAGAATAGAAGAGAGTGAGAGAGTGTCTTGTGGAAACTTACAACGCAATAGTAAATTTGATTAATCCCATTTTTCCTGAACTTTCATTGGAAGAAAGAATAGATGTTAAGAATAAACTCGCAGAGTCTTTGAATAAATTTAAACACGCTTTACGCATTTTGAAATTAAATTACGATTTCGAGAAAAATATTTTGGCAACGATTGACATAGACAAAATTAATGAAGTTTCTGAGGTTGGTCCTTCGTTCGATAATTTGCTAAGCGCACCTAACACTCAATCGTCAGACAGACACGATAGTGATTCTTCCGATCAAAATTCTTCCGATAATAATTTGCTAAACGCAACAAACTCTGACACAAACGATAACAGTAGTGTTGAATCTGATAACGAAAGTAACGAAAACAACATGAGTAACGAAGATGGAAACAGTGGCCAAGTGGCACCAGCGGCACAAACCGCATCAGATTTTATTCGCATGGCACATCAAATGATTAATTTTCGATACAGTGGTGATCCTCTTGTTTTAGATAGTTTCATTGATGCTATTGAACTGTTGAAAGAATTAGTTTCACCAGAAAATAGAGCTATTTTCTTAAAATTCGTAATGACCAGAATGGAAGGTAAAGCCAGAGAATTATTCACTGAACCACCAGCTGACATTGACGCAATTATTACACGTTTGAAAGATAAAATTAAACCTGATTCGTCAAAAATCATTGAAGGAAAAATCCTTGCCCTTCGAGCCGATAAAAGTAGCCTCACGAAATTTTCTGAACAAGCTGAAAAGCTAGCCGAGGAACTTAATCGTAGTCTCTGCAGGGAAGGTTTTTCTCAAGCAAAAGCTAAAGAAATTACGATCGAGAAGACAGTTGAAATGTGTCGCAAGTCATCCAAAAACGATACAGTCAAGGCAGTTTTAGCTGCATCGTCATTTTCTGAACCGAAAGAAGTGATTGCTAAAATGATCGTTGAGATTAATAACCTCAAACAAGATAAACCTCACAGTTCATATTCACATAAATTCGGTAATCAAAATAGAAACCACAGCAATGGCAATGGTAATAACAGAGGTCATTCGAATGGCAACAATCACAACAACCACAACAATCGCAACAGAAACGGTTCGCACAATAATAATAATAACAACAATCAGAGTAACAATCGACAAAATAATTACAACAATGGTCACAGATCTAATAATAATAGAAATGGTCAAAATCAAAACGGTAATTATAACAACCGTGGTAGTTATAATCAGTCGCAAGGAAACAATCAGACAATTCGTCATATTTCGGGAAACGAGATGAACCCGGGGAACAGCGGGCTAACCATGAATCCATAGATTCAGTGGTGCCTGAACACAAAATTTACTACATCAAAAACAATTTATCTGATTTTGTTTCAATAAACACAAGCGCATCGAGTGCAAACTCACTTTTTCTTATCGATACCGAAGCATCCGTATCACTTATTAAAATAAGTTGTATTTCACGTGAGATTAATTACAATAAATCGGATATTATTAAATTGATTGGAATCGCAAAAAATCCTATTTTTTCACTAGGATCATTTGATTTAAAAATCATTGAACAAAACGTTGAATTTGTACATAAATTTCATTTAGTTTCAGATGATTTCCTCATACCATCGAATGGTATTATTGGAAAAGATTTCATAAAGCGATTTAAATGTCTTATCGACTATGGTGAAATGACATTTACAATTCGAAAACCAAATACTACACCGATCGTAATACCGATTAAATCTGAATTGATCAATGGCGTCTCCGCATTGCCACCGCGATGTGAAACATTTAGGGTATTTCATTTTAAAGATTTTCAACCGTCATTTTTAAACAATTCCCCTATGTTAATTGAGGCGCAGGAGATCGAAGAAGGTGTTATCGTACCAACTACAATTGTACATGAAAAACAAGCATGCATAAGAGTTTTGAACACAACTGATGAGATAAAAATAATTAATACGGAAAATCTAAAAACAAGTTCAATTAAAGACTTTCACATTTTTAAAACAGAAAAATCAACAACACATACAAATGAAAGACTGGGAAATTTACAAAATAAATTAAAAAAGAAAGTCCCTGATTTTATGAGAAACAAATTAGTTGATTTATGCATGGATTTTTCAGATATTTTTCATGTTGAAGGCGATAAAGCAACTGTAAATAATTTTTATGAACAAAAATTGCTGATGAGTGACAATGAACCAGTTTATACGAAAAACTATAGACTTCCATATGCACAAAAAACTGAAATCGCTAATCAAGTCAAAGCGTTACTGGAAAACGATTTAATTGAGTTAAGTACTTCTCCTTACAATTCACCTTTGATTATCGTACCTAAAAAAAGTACCGATGGAAAACCAAAATATCGAATGTGCATCGATTATCGTAAATTGAATAAGAAACTAATTCCGGACAAGTTTCCCTTGCCACGCATAGAAGAAATCTTAGAAGGATTAGGACGTGCTAAATACTTTTCCATTATGGACTTGCACTCAGGTTTTCATCAAATTCCAATTGAAAAAGAATCTCGCCCAGTAACAGCATTTTCAACAGACACAGGATTTTATCAATGGAAAGTTTTACCTTTCGGAATAAGTCAAGGCAGTTTTAGCTGCATCGTCATTTTCTGAACCGAAAGAAG